CCCGTTTTTGGCGGGCCAATGGCGGGCCGGGCCAAAACGGGCCAGGCTGGCCCGTTTTGCCATCCCTATCTAAAATATTCTAAAAACGTTTAAGCAACGTTTAGTACATGATTTTTTTTTAATTTATTATAAATTTGAAATTCAGAATGTTAATTTTTCATGTTTGGTTTATTGAAAATGTTTTTTTTTTCAATTTTTCTTAAAAAACAATTATTTGAATTGAATTTTGTAAATTCTTTCGGAAAAATATTCTAAAGTATTTTTAAACCTAATAAATATTCTTCTATAAAATTTACGTTTGAATTACTATTATTTAATGATTGCAAATATTTTATCATGTAAGTTATAATATAATCTTTTTTTGTTGCCAGCGTATAATATACCAATTTTTTTAACTCAGTAGAATAGTAATTCTCAACTAAAAAGACAAAGTTCATAAAAAAAAAAAAAATATTAGTTTGTTATACAAAGATAATAAATAAATAAATAAATAACGTTTTAATATAAAAAAAAATGGTAAAATTCACGATTCACACGTAAGCTAGCTCTACTATTACTCAAATTTGCTTGTGATTTTTCTTCTCCCCGTGGATCTATTCCCCATTATATAGAACTAGTGACTCTTAACAATTAAATATGTACTGAATTAATGCTTGATTATTGAGACGTACTTCTTAAAGTCTCTTCGAATTTGATATTTCGACGCAAATAAATAAAAAAATTCAAACTTTATTATCGCTACTAATATTATAAGAAAAAACATATTTTAATAAGTTTTTCATGCGTTCCCATGAGCCAGCGGTTGCTAGTTAACCATACAAAGGTAATTTGGTTGAATACAACATGCACGAAAAATCACCACTTCATGAGTCAAAATTTCCTTTCTCGAATTAATCAAGAATATGTGAAAGATTATTGCCACAGGTTCACCAATAAAATCAGCTTTTTATGCAGAAACATTGTGCTCGTTTGAAAAAAATGAGTCTGTAATAACATTATTAATGATGGTATTGTTTGGAGAGGAGGATGAGAAAAAGAGGCAGCGAGGACTACGGTATAGGCTAGCATTAGGGAAAATGTATGGCATCCAAAGCCAAAAAACAAACCATCACAAGCCCCCTCTCCCCTCAATGCAAAACTCTTTCTGAAACAAAATGCCATTTTTCCACTTCCCATGTTCCCTGGCCCCACCACTTCCCTCTACTGTTCTAGTGGTTCTCTTTCTGACATCAATAATACCACCAAGTACATACAACAACATCACCACTCACACCTCTTCTCAGATACCCTTACATCACATACTAGGTACATTTTATCATATCTATGTATCTACCAACAACCAATACATTGCATTGCGTTACAAGATGCATTACATCTACATGTTTTTATTCCCATGCTAGGACAAATATCATGTTTGTCTTTTATGAAAAGTTGGTGGGCTAGAAAAAGCAAAATTCAATGCTAGGCAGAGCAGAGACACCCACCCCAACTTTTCAAATCTTCTTTTGCATCACTAACTTCTTTACAGCATAAAGTTGAGCAAAAAGAGAGATCCCCTTTCTTATGTTTCTCCTTCTATTTCAACCTCTTATTATGGCTTTTCCAACCTCAGGTTTGCCCTTCAATTATGTTTTTTTATATATTTATTTTTCTCTCTCTAGTAATTGCTACAGGTGAAATCAGCGGATAAACAGAATAGGAATGATGGGGAGGTTGAATTATAGGAGGGGAGCATGAGTTGAGTGCAATCATAGATAGGTCACCCATTTCTTACAAAATGGATTTGTCTTTTTCTTCCTTCCGCTTTCGGTTAAAGGAAAAAGGTTGAAACACCCTTGTTCCTGATTGCACCCTCATGAGGCTGAGGAAGCGTAAACGATGTTTTCCTTCTTGTTCCTCTCTTCGCAAAGTAAATTCACCATTGTTTTCTCATATCTATCCATCTCTGAAAATTGGCCTTAAGAAAAATGCTGATAATGTAGAGTTTCAAAAGGAATTAAAGAGTTATCATATCTTTCAGAAACTATCTCTTTTTACCAAACTGTAATGCATTTAAATAAATTATCATACGTGAATTGAATTGACTTGCATTTCTTTTTTCCATTAGTTCTTGATCTTGACAGTGATGTAGTAGTATCAAGTGTTTTCTGTATTCGTTATCTGCCATTTAGTTCAGAAGTCTTTTGTCTAGATGTTTCTTCTTCTTCTTCTCATTTTATAGCTTCTGGAACTCGAAGCATCTCTTGCTAAGTCAAAAACCAAACTTTGTTTCTTCCCTTACTTTTCTGACCTACTGTTATAAGCACTTTGAGATATCATGCTTTGATTCATTCATCTAAGTGCATGGAATTGAAATTTGTCAATAGTTTTGGTAGATTGACAAGTAGTTCATATTCTATTTATAATATTACTTTTTGCTTAAGGATGCTTTCAAAATTGAAATGTAGGTTGACGAGGATGAGATTTATTGGAGACAGAGAAAGGAAGATGAAGAGTTGGAATGGACACCAAATTCCACTCACTTAATATCTCAGTTGACTCAATGTTTTAGTGAGTAGATTTCTTTTTCTCTTGATCTCTTTCGGTTTCTTTACATTTTTGCAACTATTTTCAAATCAATGTGTTAATTGATTGATGGTATGAGTCAATGAGAATGTGGAGGGTTACTGAACGTTGTTTCAAACAGTTCCAGTAAAATACTTAAATTATCAGATTTCCATGCTTCCATATGGGCATTATCGTTCCAAATATGGTGATATAGTTGCCTAGTTAATTCTATCTATAAGGATTGAGTTTTGATTTGGAAGTTACATTTTGGGAACATTCTTGATAATTCAGGCCTACTTATGAAATTAAAGTAATCTTTCCATTAATGATTAATCTCACTTCTCAGGGATTTTCTTCAAAAAGTTAGTTTAAAGGAATGCCTCTTCTGCATTCTATTTTCTGTATTAACAAACAAAGCATAGACAGTTTGCAGAATGCATTAAAAGACTTATTTCAGTTCTGAAATTCAGCATGTCAAAGTCTGTAATGACTTAACAACACTGCAACTTGATGATTCTATCCTATATCATCATTCAAGCTTTCTTTCAGTGCTGATCCACATTTGTTGCATGTAGCTAATGCTATGGTTGGATCAAGATCATGGATAGGAGGACTCTTTCACCGCATAAACACCAAGCAAAATGAAAAATTTGTTGACTATCCTTTGAGTCCTGTTGAGGTAAAACGGAAGTTGGTGATTTGTTGAATTTTCCTTCTGATTTCCTGTGATTTTTACTTGTGACTTACTATTATCACAAACACAGTGAGCTTAATTTGATATTATATTTATATTTATGTCAGGAGGAAAGACTTCATAGGCTTCAAGAACGGGTGCAAGTGCCTTATGATGAGACTCGTCCTGATCATCAAGTACATCTTCTTTTCATGAACCAATTTTGCTTCTTTACATATTAAGACTTAAGTTTGCTCCTGGAAAATTCAAGCTTCATTTCTGGTTCACAGGGAAAAAGACTACCCTGTAGTTCAGGAATACTTTCAACTTTTGACTGTTATGCTCTTACCACATTTTACTGATAATATCATTGACTCTCAACAGGAATCATTAAGAGCTTTATGGGATTGTTCCTTTCCTAATGTATCTCTGGAAGGCTTAATATCTGACCAATGGAAAGATATGGGATGGCAAGGTCCTAATCCATCGACTGACTTTAGGTACACAGATATGTTATTCTTATGAGAGCTCACATGACATTTTGGTCACTTTTCCTGTGTGAGAATTTGCTGATTAAATATGAAAATAATGTCATTGTAGTGCTGTTAAGGTTTATAGTAGCATAAAATTTCACTATTTTTTTTCTCTCACATTTATTGTTTCTTTAAATTATGGGGCAGAGTTAAACCAAATCATTTTATTTCACTGAAATTTGATGACCCTTCATGTAGCAATTTTATTAGATTACTGCAGATTAAATTCAGGCCATAAATACACAAGGACATGGCTAGAGAGAACATCTATGGATAGATTCTTTCAATATCTTTATGGAGGATCCCAAATTAACATGACGACTTGACAATTTCTGATTTTTTTAACTGAATATTATATCAATTGTTTATAGAGACTTAAAGAGAGTGGATTCTTTCCTTATCTTTAACGAGGATCCCAAATTAATTGATATGGTGTCTTCATAGTTTCTTATTAGTAATTGCATATTATATGAAAGAACATGGTCATACAGCCTTAAAGAGAGTTCATTATGCTTGATGTTTCCATTACCTAAAAATTTTCTATCTAAGGTATTGTGTCTGATATCCTGATTTCCTCAGGGGATGTGGCTTCATTTCCCTTGAAAATCTACTGTTTTTCGCAAGGAAATATCCGGTATGCATTTGTGTCTTCTATTTTGCACGTCTGAAAGAACTTGATCTGCCTTAATGTCCTCTCATTTTAGTTTCTTGATATCTATCTTGGCAGAAAAGATGAGTTATTACTAATTTTATGGAAATTCAAATGAAGGCATCTTTTCACAGGCTGTTGTTGAAGAAAGATGGAAATAGAGCAACATGGGAATATCCATTTGCTGCTGCTGGCATTAATATATCATTTATGTTGATACAGATGTTGGATTTATGCTCAGGTTTGTGTACAATTTATCAATGCATTAATCATTCCACTGATTCTGCTAGTAGAAAGAGTTAAAGGGTTGCCGATTAAAGTATATCTGTACTTCCTTGGAGGAAAGGCTATTTCTAACATTTTGGCTACTAGATCACCAAAAAAAAACTTACTCAGGCCTCATTAACTAAAGAATGAAAATAACAATAAGATATTATGTTTTCTTATAAAACTGACTGCTAAAGTTTCAATATAATCTCATAGCATTCGATCAACAATTTTTTTATGATAACATGCATTATATTTGGTTAACAGTTTTACCAATGATTAAAATAGGATGACCTTTTGGCGTTTGTAAATGTTTTTCTTTATCAAAAAATGATCGAGAAAGCGTAGTACATTTTGTAATAACGTTTTCACTAAATGCTTTTTGTGCAGAAAAGCCACGATGTCTTCCGGGAATGAATTTTGTCAAGTTATTAGGAGGTGTGTTACATCTTAATCGGTCCCTGTCAAATGATTGCATATATTTGACCAATTCAAGTTCCTTTTTGATGCTCCAAATGCTTATAAGCCTATTGCATCTTACTGCAGAAAATGAAGAAGCATTTGATGTTCTATATTGTATAGCTTTCGAGATGATGGATGCGCAATGGCTGGCTATGCATGCTTCCTACATGGATTTTAACGTATGCTTTTTATTCCCCGTGTTTTCTGCATCTCCCATCCTTCATGACTTTCTCTCCTAGGCCTCCTACTTCTACAGCTACACAGAAAAGGAAAAACAAAATTAAATAGATCAGCTTAGAGTTTAGAAATAGCATGGACTATGATACTAAGGCCAATTTTACAATTAAGATACGATATTTGAAATTAGTTAATTTCCATATCTTATTTATGGCCCCTTTTCCTTATAGTAAGAGCAATTTTATTCTCTCGTATGGCACAAGGGCATTAAAACTTTGCTAAGAACAAGTTTTGGAGAGAACCGTGGAACATATTAATGAACCAAAACTGTAACAAGGGAGAGTAAAGACTCTTCACTTAGGGGATGTTTGGTGCACAGAAAGTTTTTACTTTTCTGAGAATCTGACATTTGGAAAATTAGTTTCTTGTGTTTGGTTTTTTATTTAAAAAATATATCATTAAGAAATATTATTTCCTGGGAAAGCTTTTTGTATAGATTTCCCATAAAAATATTTTCATGGTAATTTTTTTGAGATAAAAATATAATTTTAATATGGAAAAATGTCATATTACCTTTATTTCCTTATTTAATGCAGTAAAAAATTTTAATTTCCAAATAATATTTAAAAACATTTCCATAAACATTTATGACTAATTAAACAAATTTTTATTGTGCCTAAGAATGATGATTTCTAGGAATTATGATTCCGAGACATGAAAAAATCTGTTGTCTAGCAAACACCCCTTAAAGTTAATATACAAAAACTTCTTTCCAAATTTTCTTCTACCTTTTTCAGAATCTGCTTTAGTAATGACTATCTGAAACACAATGATATGTTGTTTGGTTTTTTCAACTTTTGCAATGCATTGACACTGCAAATTATTCCATGGCTTTAGGAGGTTCTGCAAGCAACACGAATACAATTGGAGAGAGAGTTATCCTTAGAAGACATCAACAAAATACAAGAGCTGCCTGCTTACAATCTGTTGTAACAATAGCTTAATTCTTCCTCTTCTGTCCATAAGCAAAAAATTCCAAGTGACACAATTTTTGTAAGTTCATCACAAAGTCACAATGCTTATCCTCAATGAACTGCAGGGCTTTACTCCTCTTCTGAATCAGTTTGTATGAATCACTTTGAAGTTCTTTATAGCTGACATTTGGTAAATGAGCTGATGAAATTGAAGGGGTATTTTGGGAAGCAATTTGAAATTTTTGTTGTGATGGAGTTCTTCAAATCCTAATGGGAAAGAGGTGAAATGTGAGAAACCATCCGATCAAACAGTCCAAAAGAAAATTGGAAATTAAAACCTAATTGGATTTAAATCTTGAAGTGAGAAACACTATCGTTACACTTTTTTAAACACTATTTATTACTAGTTAAAATTTATCTAAAATCATAAAATTTGGTGGGTTCCAATTCTTATTGAACCTGCTTCATTTCTAGTATTATATTTTTAATAAATTTCAACAATACTGAGAAAAAATATCTTGAAATTATTCGAGATGTAATATTGATGAGGTTAGAAGGAGCTTTACATTCACTTGTACAGTTGTACACACTTTTTGTTTCCCCTCGGGTGCAAATAATTGCATTAATTAAAATGTCTCTTGTACTAATTATTCTTTTATAAGAAATTTTCTTACTTAAAATTATTTATCCTAATTCAATAAGTAGTTGATAGAGTAAAAGTCTTTTTGATAAGAAAGGTTAAATTGACAAGATGGAATTAAATTATCATGTATCTATCTTGATTCTCTGGTTAGGTAACTTTTGTATTAGATAGCTTAAGAGTTTCATTAATTTTGGAGGTAATTTTTTGAAGAAAGATTATAAGTTTAGAACAAATTCAATCCTATCAACTACATTAAACAACTTCCTTAATTACAATGAATTAGGTAGCTGGTTCTTATAAAAAATGTTGAAAAAAGTAATATTTATGAGGCTAAAATAATATTTTATTTATTCTTTTTTAAAACCAAATAAAGTGGACATTTTGTATTTTTCTCTTTTTCCTTCTTTTTTTTTTTTTTTTTTCTCTTAAATCAAACAAAAAGACTATTTTTTTTTCCTTCCCTCCATTAAAAGTATTCCTCTTTATTTATTTTTCTTTGAATCAAAACATTGGAAATTAAAAAATCCATTAATTAATTTCATTCCTAACTTATGTTAACCAATTTAATTCTAAAAGTTGACGATTATCCTTAACATGGTTTATGAATTTGACGGTCTTAGTCTACCATCATGAACTAAAATATTTAATAATAAATTCATGGCAAGAATCAAATTAATAAACCTAAACATTAGAAACCAATTTTATTTTAGTTTTTAATTTAAAGACTAGATTAGTTGAAGATCATAATTAATTTTCAAAATTGATTAGATATTGTATTTTGAAATTTTGAGCCCTCTTTAATTTGTTTGTCTTTTCTGAATTTTATTGTGAATTGTGACTACAAAAGACAATTGCATGACTTTCAAACGTCTATATATTTGATCAGAGTCAATATATAGTTGAATTGACACAGATGATTCACTTGTTTAAGTCCAATATCTCATTGATAATGAGATGATGACTTCTGCAGATGAAAATGCTCAAACTTAAAATATATTTTGTTGTTCAATTGCTCTATATATGATGATCCTTCAACTACCACATGCAAGTGACACCTAGCTAGCTCTCGTAATATGATGCAATTTTAAATGCTGCAAAACTACCAAAAAAGATGTGAGAAGATTATATATATATATATATATATAGGGTCGAGCATCATTGCATCAATTTATCATGATTGCTTTATCACATTTTGCGGATAGTTTATTTATATTGCTTACGGAAGAACTTCATATATATACTTAGATGACATGGTGTTTACACTTGTCCAATAAAAATTCGTCAGTTGAAGGAGTTTAGTTACTAGGAATTGTAACTATAATTACTCAGCATGGTGCACGATTGGTTTGACGTAGGTCGCATGTCATAATGTCATGGGCTTCAAATTTGTCAAGAACATCCGCTACTTGAGAGAATGGGATACAACACAACACACATATTGTGGTTGAATTGATTGGATTCATCAACAGCAATGAATTGTTTTTTATTTTCTTTTATGAGACCTAAACTCAACCCATTCATCATAGCATAGCACAAGGAGAAAGTGGGGGCAAAAGAAGAGAACAACAATTTCCCCCTCGAATAGGGGAAGCTGCTTTGCTTGGTTTATAAGCATCAAATTTTAAAAGTCGCATATTCCTGTGCACCATTCAGGCTTATCTATTTTCAGTCTCTTTGTTATTCTAAAACTAACTTTTAGTAGAGTTATATTATTTAATAATTTATAATTTATATTAAATTTTATTAATTCAATTGTTAAAAAATAAAAATTTAAGTTAAGTCTTTTAAGTTATAAATAAGAAAAAAGAATATAATAATTTAGAGTAAATGGTTAAATTAGTTCATAAAATTGTATGTCACTCTCAATTTAATTCTTAGTTCTAATGAAACTCAAAAAAGATTTTTAAAAATGTAATTTGTCACTCATTTAAATCCTATTAAATAAACTTCATTTTTTTTAAAATAAAAGTATATACATGGTACAATAGTATCATATTTTATATACGCAATACATATGTAAAGTGACACATGTTACGTGGATATGTCACGTGACATATATATTCCTCTTAACATATAATTATAACTAATTTATGAAACAACAATATTATGTTACTTAAGTTTATAAAATTGTAACTTAATGTCATTTTAGTATCTAACATTTTAACTTGATGTCATTTTAGTTCTCAAATATTATCATAATTTTATTTTAATCAAGTAATTATAACTTGAATATTTTCACAATAAAATAGATAATTAAATTAATATTGTAAATTTGGATATAAATATATTAAAATCATATTAAAAATTTGATATTTAACATTGTATCAAGCTTTATATATAAAACATAAACAACTATATTGCACAAGTACAATTTTAGAGACTTTTCTTTGGCAAGAGAGATTTTAAGGAATATTTTAATCTCATATCTAATTTAGTTTTTATTTTTTATAAATATTTATGAATTAAATATTAATATCATTAAAATAAATTATCATTAAATAAAAATAATCTTATACTACAATATAAACTATTTATCATAAATATAAAATATAATTTATATATTTAAAAATAATTATTTATTCATTTTTCATATATAATTTATATATTCAATCATAATATTTATTTATATACATAATTAATTCTTTTATATAAATTATTTCTTATTTTTCTATTGTGAAAAAATCTATTACTTTCATTTTCTACAAATTATATTTTTTAAGTCTTTAATATCCTATTTTTTTATTATATACATACATATATATATATATATATATACTAGAATTTTTTATTTATGTATTATAAAATAAAATTAATAAAATAAAATAAAATTTTGACAATTAAAGGATGAATATTTTATCATCATATTTACAATCTTAACTTAATTATATATTTTATTGTGTAAATATTTTGACTAAAATAAAAATATGATAATGTTTGGGGACTGAAATGACATTAAGTTAAAATTTTAGAGACTAAAGTGACATTAAATTACAATTTCAAGAATTAAATTAACACAATTTTACAATTTTAAAGATTAAAATGATAGTATTATAGTCATATATCACATGATACATATATGTCATATAACATATGTTACTCTACATATGTACCATGTCTATATCACATGACATTATCATATCATCACATGACATTATCATATCATCACATGACATTGTGATGTCATGTAGACACTTTCGTTTAAAAAATAGAACTTATTTTATAAAAAGACTCAAATGAGTGACAAATTACATTTTTGATGACTTTTTTTGAAGTTTTATTAGAATTATGAACTAAATTTAAGAGCGGTATACGATTTTTGGAGCTAATTCAACCATTTACTTGATAAATTATAATTAAATAAAAATATAAACTATTTTAAATTTTCATAACATTTTTTCTCTAAAATATAGCTTTTAAATGATAATGTAAGCTATTTTATATTTTCATAACATATTTTCTCTAAAATATAGCGATATAAAGCAAACGGCTCTTACTGCTGTAATACAATGTCTAATAATGTCAATAAGGAGCTGCAACTGTATTAATGTAGAGTTTAAATAAACATTGATCGACTAGTTTAAAAACAAAATACTTGATCAAGGAATTTTGTGGTATGACATGTCATTTGCTCATTTTGTGTGATCCAAGTTGGGTTATAATTTATGAAACTAATGAAATTAACGAAATCTAAACTCTAAAGTGAAGTAGCTACAAGTCAAAGTGCCAAACAGCTACGTGATACCAATGCATTGACTTTGAGGACCAAAACCCATGTGTCAGTGATTGCAAAGGTGATGGGTTTGTTGGTGGTTGCCACTCTCAATTTTGATCATCTCTTTGCATTGTTTCAAATTGATGACTTTCTCACTTAAAAAGTGTTGGTGGTTATAATCTCTTACTTAAAAGGTTTTGTTTATTTTTTTTTTCAAATTTAGGCCACTTTTTTATCCCCAACATCAAAGTGGTAAACAACCTGTTGTTTGGATTGAAAATGGGAGCTTTAGACCCCCTTTAATGTCTTTGAAGAAGTTAGTGAATTTTTATATATTTTGTTTTATGATGTGTTAAAGGGAAAGCAACTTGAACTAGAGAACAGTAATCTGCCATAATATTTATTGCTTTTGACTTGTATTTGTATTAATATCTACACCAGAATTCGTGTTTTCAAGAAAAACAGTTTAGAGATTCAGATCTATTTTATGCAATATAAATTAATAATCTTATATAATGTTTATCAATAACCTAAAACACCAATTGAGTAAAATAAATACAAATGTTTTACTTATGTTTTCAACAAAAGTTATATATCACTGTGACCATGCATGCTAAACAAATTTCGTCATAACTATTTTTTATAAAACTAAAATAAAATTCTTTAAATTAAAATTAACTTTAATATTCATGATAAAAAAAATTAACTTATATATGAGTTAAAAGTAAATTTTTAGAGAAATTAAATGATTCTAGCTTAAAAAAAACTGATTTTAACTTGAGCTATTTCTAGTTTGTGAAGATTATTTTATTTTTTATTTTTCATTTTACAAGTGTTTTTATCTTATTTATTTTTTTTAATATTTCAGTGGTTTTGAATATGCCCTACGTTAAACATTCAGGAAAAAAAATTGTTGACCATAATAATCTCATACGATTCAAACAAGATTTTCTTTAATAAATTATATTTGTGGTTTACAAAAAAAAAACACCTATAAGAATTTGTATATGTATTATTAATTAATTTTCTTTTTCTTATTCATGAAAGTCAAACTTGATACTAAATTGCCTACTCTACTCAACTAACTTAGTTAAGATCCCTTGATAATTAATCCCCTATTTATTTGAGAGAAAAGAAAATAAAGGGAAAAATCAAAATTAAAAAAATGAATGAATTTTTTTTTATTCATAAAAGTTAATTTTTATTTTTTAACTAAGTAAAAAATATATTATTATCAAAAGATAATGCTAGTAATACACTTTCTAACACATTATTTTTACCATACACTCTATTATTGAGTAAAATTTATTGAAAATTATAAAATCAAAATGATAAAAATATAGTGATAAAAATTACACTTTCTTGCACAATGTAGCTATTCATATTTAATATATAGTATATAAAAATGATATAGAGTGATAATATTTAAATTTTGAAGATAAAATATGTATTATTTTAAAATTTAGTTATTGTAGTAGATAATAGATCATTTTAATATGAAACTATAAGAGACACTTGTATGGTAAAAGGGTGATGTTCATTCTTTCATGACAAAAAAAATCCAAATTAAAATAAATGTGAGAGATAATGGATACAATGAAGTATTTATGAAGTAGAAAATTGTTTTAATAAATATATATATATATATATATATTTTGTGTTATTTTTAAGAAAATTATTA